GGCTTGAACTCACAGACCAAGAGATCATGACCTGAGCCGAAGTCTGACGCTTTAACCGACCGAGCCACCCAAGCACCCTATGTATTCACATAAATAAAATACTATACTATACTTGTCCCCAGAATTTGACTTAAAAGTTACCTTGAAGGAACGAATCATAAATGCTTAAAGATATTTTTCTCTAGAAGAGACTGTAAAATTAACTTGCTTCTTTTACGTCTGTACCTCGGCACTGTTTGTCTGATAGCCTAGAAATTATGGCGAGTGGCAGAGTCAAGGTCCCAGCCGTCCCCTGGCCCAGGGAACCGTGCAAGGAAAAAATGGGGCCACTGGTTTTTCCCAGAGGCCACTCCTAGGAGACTGGCGGCCGTGTGCGCGATTTAAGGGAGAGAAGCTGGAGAGAAGGAATATTAATGACTTGGATGAATGAGAAGCCAAAAGCTTCCCAGTGGCTGGGCCTCTGGGTGGCGGGCTTCCGGCCAAGTTCGCAGCCCCTATGGGTCCTTGGCTCAGCTTCTGCAGTCAGAGGGTGGTCACCGCAGGGGCAGCGGCAGAACCCCCTGCTTCCCGGGGTTCTCTTGGGGACTCCAAAGGGCTTCGCCTGCCCTTTCCCAATCCCTTCGGTATCAAAGCTCTGTTTCCTTGGAAACACACAGCCCCATGGCGTTCCAGGGGGAACCATGCAACAAGCAAGTTTGGAGGTTGTATACCCAGAGGATGAGGAGAAAGGGCTCTGGAATCAGAATGACCTTGTTCCCCACCTTAATCCTTTCTAGCTGTGCTGTCCTGGGCAAGCAACTTAACCTCTCTGTGCCTTAATTTTTTTAAATCTGTAAACGAGGGTGTGACAGCGCCTGTCCCAGAAGGTTACTGTTGGGAGAAAAGGAGCTAATCTATAAAGCAGTTGGAAAATGCCTGGGTACCTGGTGAGGGCCCCACACGTGCCAGCTGTCATTAGTAGCTTCGAGCCACAAGTAAAACACTCAGAAATTGCCCAGTGCGGTGGTTGTCAAACTGTGTTCCTTATGGCCCCCCAAAGATGTCAAGAGGTGCCTGAGGCCATGTTGCAGGATGGGAAGGGAGAGGCTTGACCATCTTTAAGAGCCTCAGAAAACACACCAGGCTCAGCGGTTTGAATACAACTCTGTATAATAATTCCTAGGGAAAGAGAACCAGTGAATTTGATTCAGGGAAAGGAAAAAGAGAAGGCTTCCTGCACACGTGTGAACATTCAGACCACTGTGCTGCTTACAAGCTGTACGATGTTGGGCAGATCGATGAACATCTCTGTCCCTCGCTTTCTTCAAGGAGTTGGCGGTAAGGGTCAGACAAAGACGCGCAAAACACGGTTCCTCTACATAGTAAGCCCTGGATAAGATTCATTACTATTTCTTTTTTTTTTTTTCAATGTTTATTTATTTTTGGGACAGAGAGAGACAGAGCATGAACGGGGGAGGGGCAGAGAGAGAGGGAGACACAGAATCGGAAACAGGCTCCAGGCTCTGAGCCATCAGCCCAGAGCCTGACGCGGGGCTCGAACTCCCGGACCGCGAGATCGTGACCTGGCTGAAGTCGGACGCTTAACCGACTGCGCCACCCAGGCGCCCCAGCCCTGGATAGGATTCATTACTATTTCTTTAATTCAACACGCACGTAATATAGAGTTCACTCTGTGCGAGGCACTCGTCCAAAGACTGGGCTAATATTAGCTCATTTAATCCCCGTAACAGCTCCATGAGGTAAGTGGTATAATTATCTCCATCTTATGACTGAAGAAACTGAGGCACACAGAGGTGGTAACTTGCCTGAATAAGTGAGGTAATTTGCCCTAGGGTTGGAATTCTGAGCTGGGACTCTAGCACTTTCTTCACCAGGCCACCTCTCCAATGACATGATAATGCCAGTCGTCCATCATCATTATCATCATCACCATGACCATCATCATCGAGGTGACTCTCCAGCAGAAAATGAGGGATAGGGAGCATAAACACATTTCTGCTTGCCTGCAGGGTTTGCTCCACTCTGACTTACTCTCAAGCTCCTATAACCTCAATGTATTTGTAGATAAGTTTATTCGGATGGAGATTAAATGAGATACGCTTAAAGGTGCCAGAGGAAGACCAATTTTCAATTCACGAGACGGTAAAACTGTACTCACAATTCAAGGACGAAGGCTGAAGGTGGCCCTGGTTTTAGCACCCGGTATGTATCAGCCCTGTGCACTTTCCATACATCATATCGGCAGTGCTAAAAACAGCCCATTTTACGGGTCATGTCCAACAAATATTTATTGCGCGTGTTATGTACCAGGACTCTTCTGGATGCTGGAACAGTAGTGAATGAGACCTATATGATCCCTGCCCTCATGGCGCTTACGTTCTAGTAAGGGAGACACCCACCGGGAAATGAACAGGGCAATTTGGGGGAAGGGAATAAGGAAGGAAATAAGTGGGGTGGTAACAGGGAGAGGGATTATAGGCGAGGCTACTTTAGAGATGGTGCCAGGGAGGGCCTCTGAGTTGGTGACCTTGGAAATGACCTGAAGGGCCAGGACTCAGAGATCTCAGCGAAGAGCATTAGGCAGAAAGAAAGCAGATGCAAAGGTCCAGGGGTGCAAATGAGTCTAGGGTAGCTGAGGAGCATCGAGGGGCCAGTGGGACTGGAGGGGAGCCAATCAGGGGACAGAGGCAGGAGCCGACGACAGGGAGGTAGGCAGGGGCCAGGCCATGCTGGGCCTTGTGTGTAGGCCCAGGAAGCCCTCAGACTAGAGTCTGAATATATCGGGAGTAATGGGCAGTTTTTACAGCGGGAGAGAAGCGTAGTGAGGACACTGAGCAGGTTTAAGTGAGTTGCTCAAGCTCAAAGCGAGCACCGGGATCTGCTTCCAGCCCTTCTGAACCAGTACTTGGGGGTCCACACACCCGGGCTCACCCTGGACCCCGTCCGAGGACCTGTAAGCCCCAGGAGGCCTGGCTGTGGCCTGGCGAGGGTACAGGGCAGGGGCCGAGAAGCAGGATGTGCCATGAGCGCTCTGGTCCCGCCTGGGGCAGGCCGCGCGGGCCTGGGCAGGGGATGGTACCAGCCGGGGTTGGGGGAAGCGGGCAGCTGCCACACAAAGGCCTTGTTGAACAGAAACCCCGGCGACCGCCCAGGGCCGGGCCAGGAGCCAGACTGACCTCCCAGATGGCCAGTGGCCCCGCGGCCCAGCCCCCACCGAGAGCGGGGCTTTTCCCACCACATCCCAAGCTCAGAGGAGCCTCTGGGGTAGAGGACCGTCTCCTCTGCCCCCTGCCTCAGGGTCAGACAGGGTTCACGTCCTCTCGACACATGGCACCATGTCCACCGAGTTGCTCAGGCAAGAACCTCCACGCCATTTCCCCCTTTTCTCCCACATTCGGTCATCATAACCAACTGCGTCGGCCACGTTCTGAGGTCTCCACGGGCATCGACTCATCCAATAACTGTCACAAGTCTGTGGCACGGCGCCATTATTATTCCCATTTTACAGATGAGGAAACTGAAACGCGCAGCTGAGGTACAAGACCTGCAAACCGCCCCCCCCCCCCCCCCCCCCCCCACTCCGCCCCAGGCAGTCTGGTTCGACAGCCCCGGCCTTTTCCCATTGCACTGCATGGCCTCTTTGGGACCCGGATAACAGGCCACTTCCTCCGGGAAGCCTTCCCTGATACATCCCCAGGAGGAGGCAGTGGTGAGAAAAGTCAAGACAGACAGGATTTCAAATCCCAGCTATGCTATGCTACCTACAAGCTGTGTTACCTAGGATCGATCAGTTAACCTCTCTGGTCCTCAGGATTCCTGAAATGGAGACAGTACTTTTGCTGAACCATCCATTTGCTCCTTTTGAAGTCTATACTATTGTATTCGTGTGTGTTATGTGTTGGGAAAAAATGAGTAAAATAAATCTACGTGTCATAAAAAGGAGAACCTGAGCCGGCCACTCAGCTGACCTTCGGTGAAACCCTTGTGGGTGACAGATTAGCACTCCGGACTCCAGAGGCCCCGGGGGCCCCAGCACTGTCTCAGGCCTGGGAGTTGTCTTGCCCAAGGTCACAGTCACTCCTGGGGCTGCTCACCGGCGCAGACTGATGGAGGGATGCCGGGATCTGGCGGGACAGCCTCAGACCAATCGGGGCATCTCTGAAGGGCCAGCTCAGCTCTGTGCTCCCTGTGGGGTTGGTGGGGGTGTCGTGGGGCACCGCCCCCCCCCCGCCCTCTCCTGCTTCCTTCCTCCCCCTTCCACAGAGGGGGGGCGCCTCAAGGGCCCAAGCTGATGCCCCTGTTCACGCATGTCCATTCCAGAGTCTGCTCCTTGGGAGCCCCGCCCACAATAGCCACGGAATGAGGATTCCGAGAGAACGCACGGGGAGTTCTCGCACACGTCTGCTCTGGGTCACGTCCTACAACCCCGAAGAGGAAGAACTTCCATCCAATTCAAAGATGAGAAAACCGGCGCCCAGAGAGGTTTAGCAACTTGCCCAAAGCACCGCAGCGCAGAGTGGGAGAGACGGGATTGGGATCCAGACAGTTGCATTCTCACGCGGAGGCTTCTTACTAGCACATACCTTACGGATGTCTCCTATGTATCACTGTTTGCAACTGAAAATTAAAATGGAGTGAAAGAGAGAAAACAAGGGGCGCCTGGGTGGCTCAGTCGGTTGGTCATGATCTCACACTCCGTGGGTTCGAGCCCTGCGTCGGGCTCTGGGCGGACAGCTCAGAGCCTGGAGCCTGCTTCGGATTCTGTGTCTCCCCCTCTCTCTGCCCCTCCCCTGCTCATGCTCTCTCTCTGTCTCAAAAATAAAAACATTAAAAAGAACTTTTTAAAGAAAGAAAGCAATCCGAGAGGCAATTTCAGGTTTCCTTCATCTGAATTTCAGATTAACCCTTAATTGGTTGTGGGTTTAAATGCCTCGGCGGACAAGGAGAGACGCAGGGGTGGGTTCCAGGATCATGACCTGGGGGTTCAAATCCCGGCTCCAACAATCTCCTGGGTGTATGAACATAGGCAAGCTACTTAGCCTCCAGTTACCTCGGTTCCCTCATCTTTGAAATGGGGACAAGCAATCCATCTACTTCAGGGGTGTTGATGAAGGTTAGAGGAGTCCATTATTTGCAAAGCGCTTCAGGCAGAACCTGTTCTTGGGAAGTTCTTCAAAACGAGCCATGAGGAGGCGGGACTCTGAAAGCAGCCTGCCTGGAGTTGGAACCCTCGCTCTTGAGCCGAATGCAACTGTATGACCTTAAGAAAGCTGCTTAATTTTTCCGTGCCTCAGTTTCCCTACCTGTAAAATGGGAATACACATGTTACCCACCCCCTAGGGTCAGCGTGAGCGTTTGATGAGACAACACTGAGGCGGCCCTTCCTGAAATTCTATGCTCCACTCACCCCACTGCAGCCCCGGCTCCCAGAGCCCTCCAGAACAACATTCGTAATAACCCTAATTAATAGTAATGATATCTGACATTTCTACCACGGTGGTTAAGAGCGTAGGCTGTGGCACCAAACGACCCGGATTCTAATCCTGAGCGCATCGCTGTGTGACCTTAGGCAAGTTACTTTCCTTCTCTGTGCCTCGGTGTCTGAATCTATCGAACGGGGATAATAGGGGCATCGACCTCAGAGGCTTGTTGGGACGTTTAGATGCGTTCGGGTGTGTAAAGCACGTGGAGAAGGGCCTGGCCCAGGGCGAGCCCAAGACGATGTTATTCCTCTGCTCGCAGAACCCCTCGAGTCTGGGTAGTAGCCGTAGTCGCGAGTAGCAGTGTGCTCATCGTGAGCTCCTTGAGAATCCGGATCAGACCTTATCCCTCTTTTCCTGCACAGCTCCCAGCCCTGAGTGCGGCGCCGTGAGGTAGGAGCCCCTGGTTGTCCCCGTCTGGTAAACGAGGGATCCGGTGGCCGCAGCGCCCGCGCAACCCCGGGTGCTCTGAGTCGGAGCCTGCAGCTGGGGCTACGACCTGCGCCCACCTCCCCAGGCCCGCAGCCCGCCTGCCGCTCTTACCTCGCAGCCTTTGGCCATGGCGAAGCCCCCTCCCAGGAGAAGGATGATGTTCCAGGGCACCGTGTCCTGGACCTTCTTCCACGTCAGCAAGGGCTCTGTCTCCGCGTTAGAAGCTGGGTGGAGAGAGGACACTCAGGGTGAAGAAGGGTCACTACCCCCTGCGGCCCCATCTTTGTGGGGGCACCGCTGGGGGGTCCCCAGGGAGCCACAGTCTGGCTCCAGCATCTGATTTTGGAGCTTTAGGGAAAAAACACCCCCCCCCCCCGAGCATTATGAGGGGCATCTGCTCTATTCAGAAGGAAAATCATTGTCATGGCTCCCACGGCGTGAGAACCTCCTGGAACCGGGCACCCCACGTACATGCAGGACATCCTTTCAATTTCCCCAAACCCCTTCTGGAGAAGTGGTGCTTTCATCCTCATTTACAAGAGAAAAGGCTCTTTTTTGTAACTGAATGGGTGCGGGCGAGAAAAAAGTGGAAGGAAGAAACGGGAAGAGAGAAACTAAGGGTATCCTCGGTCCGTGGAGTTATGGGATGATTTTTCTTTCTACAAAAGCGGCAGTGTCTGCGTGCACTGGTTAGAACGGGGGGGATCGGCAAACTTTTATAAGGGTTGGGGAGCGGCTGCTTCAGGTTTGCAAGCTTCTGTTGCAAACAGGCCACTACTGTAGCAAATGCACAGACGCAGACTAGGCACTGTGGTGTCCCCAGGAATTTCTACTTAGAAAGGGCAGGGGTGCATTTGGCCCGTGGGCTGAGGTTTGCCACCCCTGTGCTGGGAGCACAGGCCTGGAGACAGACGCTCCAACGTTGGCTCACCACACGCCCTTGAACGTGACCTCGCCTGTCTGAGCCCCAGTTTCCTCAGCTGACACGTGGCACAGAGAGAGTCCCTTGGGGGCCCTCGTGGACACTGACGAGGTTAATGGCAGAGCCGCTGGTGGACAGAGAGGGTCCTGGTTGGTTCACGGCCAAATCCCCGTGTCACTGCGTGCACTCCAAAATGCTCGTCAGCTGATGTTAGGTGCCTGGCTTAGCCCGATGCCTGGTGCAGAGTGAACACTCTGGAAATGAAACTGTCCCTGCAGGCGGCCACCAGGGAGGCAGGAGGTCAGGTCCGGCCCATGCACGGCCGTTCCCGACTTCCCAGGACAATTCCTGGGTCACCCAGCCGTCGACATTTTGTTCCTCCTTTTCAGCTTTTTCCAAATTGTACACTGTGATTACCGGAAGCGAAAGCCAGAGATCTTGGGTGGCTCAGTCCTCTGCCTTCAGGCGATAAAGTATAATTTCATTAAAGAGGCAGGCAAGGTCTGAAAAAGCAAAGGCCCTGACGGAGGGTTTAACATCATGCAGATTCAATGAGTTACATGGTAAGTGCTAAAGAGGCCACCTGCTGCACTCAACCTTCGCCATGATCGCCATGATCGGCTTCCTTAGTTTCCCATCCAATCACGCCCTGTTGCTGTTTCTTAAAAGCACAGAGCCTCTAACTGTGTGAATCTCACACTCCCCGCCCCGTGTTAGCCTGCGAGCTATCTGGAGCAGGCCCTGAATCTGAACTAGATTTGAATCCTAGCTCTGCCGTCCGTTGGGCTGTTCGGCTGTGCGATTTGAGCTAGTGACGTCACTTCAGAGACCCACTGGGGAGAGGAAATGGGTCCACGTGTGCAAAGGGTTCGGCTCCGGGTGTGGTCCAGAACAAGTCCTTGGTTATTCATTTAACACGTATAAATTGAGGACCCATCGGGTGTCAAGCACTCTTCTAGACACTGGGGATTCAGAAGTGGCCAAAACAGAAAAAAGAAAAAAAAAAATCCCCCCCCCCCCTTGGAGAACTTACATTCCAGGAAGGGAGGCGGGTGAGAAACCAATAAATTCACAATGTCAGGAAATGTAATGTGTTATGAAGGCAAGAGAGTAGGGTAAAGGGGTGAAGAGTGACAAGGGGGAGGGATGTTCTTCTAGACAGTGTAGTCAGGGAAGACTTCTCTGGGGAGGTGACATTTGGACAGAGTCTGAGTAGAGTGATGGCAGTGAGTCACGCGATATCTGGAAGAAGAGCTTGGTGGACAGAGAGGAAATGGAAGTCCCCATTGCCATCGTCCTCATTGTCATCCGCAAGCACAGCACCCAGCACATAGCAGGCACTGCATCTGTACTTGTCAAGTGACCATAAAGGGACAGAAATACAAGGGCAACTCCGAGCCCGGGAAGAATGGAAGACAGCAGGCATAATCAGAAAATCTAGGTTGGCCTGGGTGCCTGGGTTCCACCTCCTGTTTCTGTGTCGCTAGCCATGTGACCTTGATCAAGTCACTTGCTCTCCATGGAAACTGGCCACTCTGTCGGGCTCCGTGTAAGTCCTAAGTGCTGGAATGTACCATTTCAGCCAAGTCTTCGCCGGGGCCCACCGGTAGTCCAAGGACAGGAGAGCTCATGGAGTCCCCTCTCCCCACCCACCAGGCAGCCCCAGACACTCCAGCCCAAAGAACCCTCCACAGAGGGGGCATGCTGTGCCCCTGTGGACCAGACCCAACTCGCAGACGCGTTTTAACGCTACTGTTGTGGGTCCACGCTGTGGTTTTCCACTGAAATCAGTTGCTGACGCTTAAAATCAGGGCGATTGCATAAAGTTTTGTGCTTCCCTTGAAAAGTCAGCAAATGTGGCGAAACCAGTTCAGCTTTCCTGTGTGGTGACACTCGGTGGAAACTGAGTCACAGCGCCCCTTTATTTCAAGGGTACTGGCTTGCCAGATTTCCACAGACCCCACAGTGCCCTGATGTGAAGGATCTCGCCACTCAAGATCATCCTCAGCTGCCGTCTTCCTCACGATATAGACATTGGTCTCTGTTTCAAAAATGCAAAAGGAAAGCTGGACAGGGAGGGCCCGG